CCACCTGCCTGCGTGCCATGGACGCCCAGGTTTGCAAATACAATGTTGTATTTTCAAACTGATACCATAGATACATCTAGTACAAGCCTCGAAAAAGTTTGCATCTTCGTGACCTTGACCTTGAGGTCTGATGCCAAGTCTTGTCACTTGAGACTGAGGTGATGCAGGATTTTGAAATTTATTCTATATGTGCAGCTACTAAGAGGCTGAAGGATAACACTGATATTTTTACATTTTCATGGAGCTGCTCTCAAAGCTTTGTCATCTAGTCTCAGTCCCTATAATTCAGTCCTGGTCCAGCATCACAGTGTGTGGTGTGGAATAAAACTGTGACAGTGTCAGAAATTTAGCTTGATCATCTGAGCGTAGCTGCTGCTGCTACTAGCCAGCAAACCGAAATGCAGCATGTAGTGATGCACTGACGCTGGCCCCTCTGTGAAAAACCGGCACACAACCAAACAAATTTGGACAGCAGAAGCCGCTGATGTGTGCTCTAACTTCTGACTGAAGCAAGGAGAACACTGGATGGACAGACACAGCCAAAGATTTAGATTTCAGGTAGTAGGCATTTGGTACACTACATGCATAAAACCTGGTGTCCTTCCCATATTTATTAAATCCAGGTCTCACAGTGTGGTGATAACAAATTCTGTAGAAAGTGAGTAGGCATTTAAGAAACAAATATAGTTAAACATGGCACATCTCATCTCTTCTTCCTTGGCACTGCTGCCCTCTTCTGGTTACAGTGGGTCAGTGGTCGCTGAGAGGAGGTGTGAGCTGTTAGTCTGCTGACTAAAGATTCGTCTGTGTTAAACCATTAATCACATTCTAAAGTAATCAACCATACTTTAAATGCTGTTTAATGTGGCACCTCGTATTGTGCATTATCAACTTTGCACATTATACTCTGTAGAAGAAGTACAGTGTGATGCAATGTGAAGTGGGCAATGCAGAGTGTTCTACAGTTCATATCAACCATGTCAATGAAAGTTAAATTCTAAAATAAAAACAAAACAATAAACCATGAATGTATTTTCTACCACTTCTTCTAGCCTAAGCACAGAAGCCCAGCTCCTCACAAATATATAGACCAAATTCAATTCAATTCAATTCAAATTCTTTATTGTCCCACAAGGGGAAATTTGTTTAGTTTAGCAGCAGGCAACAATAAGAGTAAACAAAACAATAATATTAAAATAATAAGGACAATAATAGTAATAAAGAACAGATGTCTGTACAGAAAACAGGTGTCTGTACTGGTCACCCTACAGAGAAACAAGAAGATAAGGACAAACATGCAGACAGGAGGGCAAAAAAGACAGAGAGGTTTATAAAAGCTCATCAAGATTGATAGGAATGCTACATGAAGCAAACAATGTTATTGAGCTTCTCTATTGTCATCCTGCCTGGTGATGGACGAGTTCATGCCTATCTCCTATCTTATTCTGAGCCCATGGATGCAGCCATACCACAGGACACGTGACCAGCACACACTCTGAGTGTGTTTCTGTACCCAGTTTACTGAAAAAATGGAAATACCCAACAGTGTGTCTGTATAAAAGTCAGTCCATATCCAACATCTACACCCACTTATACTTGTAAAGCTGCAGAGAGCACAGCACATGCTGAATCTAAATGTAGCTCGTTTCAACGGTCTTTAATGATATTTAAGGACAAATAAAAGGCCTGGAATGGATTCAAAAGTTCATTTAAAGAGACCAACATTTTGATCTTACTCCTCTATTTTTCACACCAACACTCCTTACTAAGTAGGTAGATTTGGTCTATGATCATGCTGAATAAATCGATTATTACAATTCAAAAAACGTGGGAAAATTGGTAAAACAACAATAGATAAGTAAATGGGACTTAGTATTCTAAAATCATTTTATTTTAATCAACTTTTTTCATCAATGACGCCTTTTAGCAGCACTTTTTTATACACGAGAATCTATAATATTAATTTAATGAGTGTCTGAGCCTTAAAATGAGCCCTCATGATAAAGATGCAGAGCTTATCATTTTAACATTAATATCAGAAATGTAATTGGTTATTTTAAAAACTGCAAACAATCTTAGTTTTTCGAAAATTTCAAAAGCTTCTTTCACCCATCGGCAGCTGTTGTTTGGTCGGGAATGCATTTTGGGCAATGATGAAAGGTTGGAGTGGACATAATGTGCAGATGCTACTGTTTAGACTTTTAAATCCTGGGAAGCTGAGAGGGCGTTTGCGCAACAGCAGACTCATTCTTTTTGTTAAAAGCTCACAATAATCGTTCAAAACTCTCGCGTAAAAGTAAAAAAGGACTGGCCTTTGGGACACAGGCTTTTTTGTCATTAAAGGGCGCTGTGGAGCAGCCCAGTGCCTTTTGTTTCTCAGCTCTTGGGCTTGAAGTTCAGTTTTCGTTTCTTCCGCGGTGCGCGCTGTTCGCCTCCGGCAGAAAGTCACATGATCCACCCAGAGCCGTGTGCTCAGACTGAAATCTGAAAGGTAAAGCTGGCTGCATTAACTAAATTACTTTTTTTTTTAAATCAGTAAATGTGAGGTTCTGTCGACACTGCGCGGGTGAGTAAAGCTGTGAGCGATTTGCGAGTATGTTCGGAAACCTCGGAGCTCCAACTGCTCTGCTTGTGGCTGATTTTTATTGATGAGTCTAAAGTCTGACAAGGAGTGTTTTGAGACGATCTTCTTAGAGTCTAAACAACTTCGTTGCTTCATTTCTCACTGTTTTGACTTCTGCAGGACCATGAAGCTCATCATCCTGAACGACTACGACCAGGCGAGCGAATGGGCAGCAAAGTACATTAGAAACAAGATTTTACAGTTCAGCCCTGGCCCCAACAAATACTTCACTCTGGGGCTCCCTACAGGTAAGAGCAACGTGCAGTCCTGTGATGTAGCATTTAGCACATGTATTTAGATTTGCATGATTTTAATGTGCAGCCTACGTTTCCTCCTCTCACTCCTTTGTTGCTTTTTCTGCCCGTCTTCAGGAAGCACTCCTTTAGGTTGTTATAAGAAGCTGATTGAATACTACAAAAATGGAGATCTCTCATTCCAGTACGTGAAGACTTTCAACATGGATGAATATGTAGGTAGGTCCTGATTGTTCTCTATTGTGCCATTAAGCATACAGAGTGAGGGACGCTTCCAAGCTCTGGTCTTGCATAAGAAACTGCCATAAACTGCTTTTATAGGACTTCCCAGAGATCATCCTGAGAGCTACCACTCCTTCATGTGGAATAACTTCTTCAAGCACATAGATATAAAAGCAGAGAACACGCACATCCTCGATGGCAACGCCGCCGACCTGCAGGCAGAGTGTGACTCCTTTGAGAAGAAAATAACAGCTGCTGGGGGGATTCAGCTGTTTGTTGGAGGTCAGAAGACACACAGATAAAAGTGAAAATACTGCAGCTAGTCAGCCACACATTTCTTTTCTTCTGCCCTGTAATAAATGATTGCAAAACAATTAAGCCTCCTCTTCTTTTTCTGTGTCAGGTATTGGACCTGATGGCCACATTGCATTTAATGAGCCTGGTTCAAGTCTGGTATCCAGGACCAGGGTGAAAACGCTGGCGAAGGACACCATCATGGCCAATGCCCGATTCTTTGATGGAGATCTCTCAAAAGTCCCCACCATGGCGCTGACGGTGGGAGTGGGCACTGTCATGGATGCCAAAGAGGTTGGGAGTCTGGCTCAGTGTCAGCCACGTGCCTTGGTGTTTGTGTTTTTGCTGCTGTGCCTAAATATCAAGAAGAGTGGTCATCAGTTAACTTCTGAACTTGCTGAGTTATTTCTCGGTTTTCAATCTGTCCTCAGGTCATGATTCTCATCACCGGAGCACACAAGGCGTTTGCTTTGTACAAAGCCATAGAGGAAGGTGTGAATCACATGTGGACAGTGTCTGCCTTTCAGCAGCACCCACAGACCATTTTTGTGTGCGATGAAGACGCCACCCTGGAACTGCGAGTCAAAACTGTGAAGTACTTTAAAGGTGAGACACTGAATCACAGATCATGCAGTTGCTGAGTGGGAGAAAAACATTTTATATTTCCAGCTGATTAAGAAAAAATATTTCCAAAGCAGACATGAGTCATAGAAAAACTACTGAGTCTTGTTTTTTGTCCACAGGGATGATGCATGTCCACAACAAGCTGGTAGAGTCACCTCCATCAGAGCCGAAGAAAAACTGAGGGAGACCTCTCTCAAACATCCTGGATTCAAGAGGCATTTGATCAAATGAGCACTCCAATAATTCCATTGATTATGTTTTTCCTTCTTCAAGATCAAGCAAGATTTTCTCACAACTACTTTTCAACTACTAGATAATTTAGTGCTGGTATAGATGATTCTTCATACAACTGCTCATTTGTTCTTTGTAATAAAGCAAATTTAATTTGTACATCTTATGTGTGTTTTTGGGACATGCTGTGGTTTTCAGTCCGTCCTTCCAGTCATGTGACGAACAGGAATGAACTCCTGTTGCCTTCAAGTGCTCCTTGTTATTTTTTACTGGTTTTCTTAGGGTGGAAGTGCTATGAAAGTTTATTTTCACTACAGGGGAAAATGCCCGCAGACTTATTATAATTATTATATGTAAACTTGATATGTAGTTATTAGCCCAAATTTTTTGACTTGCAAATGGCAAAAAAAACCCCCAAAAAACCAAAATCCATCCGCACAACCGTTTTTGTTAACTAGAATACTGCCTCACACTTCATATTTGCTTAATTTCAGATGCTCAATAAGAAATCTCGGAAGATGGCACATCATATTAGCTCAGCACCAGTCATATTATGTATTATAACACTTTAAATGAGCAATTTCTTCCAAATAAGTGCATTTAATTTTGCTATATTATACACTGTAGCAATTCCCCTTTACAGCGTAAAATATATATAATTGACAGTTATGGGCTTATAATTTGTCATTTTTCCCCCCTCGATCTTTCACGCGCTAACAACTGAAAGAATGTCGTTTCCGACTGCACTTGAACGCAGCACCAGCTCTGCCACTACCAGGAGCGGAGAAGGAAGGAGATGGCCGACTAGAAGGCAGCGTTATCTTTGCTACTTCGCCTGCGAGATTCCTTTTACATTACACAGTTTCACAGCAGAAGCAGAGGGAGTACTGTACAGTTATTTCGTTCCTCTTCAGCTATGGCAGAACAAAACAGCAGCGTCAGATATCAGGAGGTAGGTAACAGGTTGCCGTCACACTTAAATGTGGCTAACAGCTAGCTGCTGCTCAGTCAACATTAGCCTGTCACTGAGAGCAAAACAGCGAACTCAGCTGTCATTTGTTTACGGGCAGGCCCGATGTTGAGTGACATGTTTTATGCTTTTATTAAACAGAATTTCTTCCACTGCAACTGCTGTACTCATATATTCATCATATATAATTTTAATGCTGTATAGGCCATATTTATTTAGTAGCTAATTAGCCACTCCTAGCGTTAGCTGGCGTTGCTGGCCTGCACAGGAGTGCTGTGTGGTGTCTAGACTTGATCCAAAGCTGTCCTGGCTCACTGACCAATCCTCCCTGTCAGTGACTGAAACCTTAGAGACAGATCAGGGTCAAAATGCTAAAGTGAAGCTGCTGCATGCTCGCTTAAATCGCCACACAGCACTGATGTGCAAATTATGTCTGCAATCAGCAGCCCACGGTTTATAATACAACCTGCCTTGTGTGTCGTTGGTAAAGATAAGAGGTTACTGTCCGATAATGTTATTTAAATGAGAATATCCGTAAGTATCAAATCCAGATGGTCTAATCTGTGTTTGGGAGAAGGAAGTAGCTGACAGAGCCTGTATGTCCGTACAGCAGGCCCTGTTTAATGACTCATGTAATTGTCTATAATGGCCCAGTACAAGCAGAAATCTTCCCTGGGGATAGTTGCCATGATATAAACAACATGGCAGACAAATATCTGCTATCACACAGTGTAAATGCTATCATTTTGACCTCCCCTATGCAGACAGCATTGTTCCCTTTTCTAAATTGCAGCTGCTTACTTATCTGAAAGGACCGTGTACTGTAAGCGAGACCCAGTTTGTGTTGTTGTCTATTAATGTTTCTCCAGCTGGTGAATGAGGAAGAGCCCCCCCAGCCTTCCCAGGAGGGTCCTGCCCAGGACGCCCCACCACCATACAGCAGCATTGCTGCAGCAAATGCAGGTTAGCTTGGTCACACGCTGTCAAATCACTTCATTTTCTTAAAAACACAATTTAATTCCAGATGTGTCTGTGCGACCTAATTGTCAATTATAAGTGAATTTAAAAGCAGGAAGAGATAAACATTATGAACACTGGCTGTTTTTAACAGCTGTAATTTGACAAGTTGCCACCTATGTGATCACTGCTTCGACTTGTACAAAGCACTTGATGTTGAAGCTTTTCTGGTGACAGGTTTCCCTGCATGCAGATTTTGTGAGCTTATTTTGCATTTTGTTAAAGATCAGATAAATATTTAGTTTCGCTCACAGAAATCTTAAATACAGTCCAGATGCACCAATATATCATTGTACTGAAATGAGTATGTTTATTTACACGTATAATTGTGTGAAGTTTGTTTAATTTTTTTTTCCTAAAATAGGATTGCAGAATAGGTCATGTGCAGGGAAGGTCTCAGGCTCGTTATCATGTTTCCAATGTCACTTCTTAAGAGGGCAAGGGTCAGCATGTTCCATAAGAGGGTGCAGCTATAGCTCTTCCTGGATGAGTCCATTGATCTGTTTTAGTGCTGTTAGTGTTTGAGCGAGGCAGAGGCGTATTCCAGGATCGCAGCCAAACAACCCAGATAAGTCTTGGCTTGTATGTAGAGAGCACAAACAGTAATGGGTGCATGCAATATATCACAGTTGTCTTTCTTGTACTAATGTTTTACGTAAGTCATTGCTTCCTGCTTTGGGTTTCTAAAGCTCAGCTGTAGCTTTCATTTTTGAAGGAAGTGAAAGAAGATTTTGTCTGTCAGCAGTCAGACGTGTAAAACTCGCTGACCTTGGTTTCTTTGTTTCTCGCTTTCAAAATTGATGCTTTAATTATCATCTCTGCCTTCTTTCAGAGGATGGCTTCGAGCCATGTCTCTGTCTGTTGCACAGTGAAGGTTGCTAAAGAAGCGGCAGTTGTCGCACTCACTGTTTGTAGATGTGTGCCAAAATTATAAACTGTGCTTCAGTTTACAGCAGCCCAAAACAGTGTTCAGTTACATTTACAGCAAACTGTTTCATAAATTGTTGGTCCACAGAAGGCATTTAGCACTCCTCAAAATGAAACACTAACAAATACACTCTATACACACTACATTAGGTAGACCAGGTAGTACCATGTTGTCTGTTTGGTTTTTGGAACTGGATTAATGCTTTGTGGCATGGATTTAACAACATGCTTGAAATATTCCTTAAAGATTTTGGTCCACATTGACACAATGATGTCACAGTTGCTGCAGATTTGTCAGCTGCACATCATGAAACAGTTTGTCTGTTCCACCACACCCCAAAGGTGCTTTATTGGATTGTGGAGGCCATTTGAGTTCAGTGAACTTGTGTTCAAGAAACCAGTTTGAGATGATTCAAGCTGTGTGGCATGGTGTCAGGTGAAGCATCCATCAGAATATGGCTATACTGTGGTCATAAAAGGATGGACATGATCAGCAACCATACTCAAACAGGCTTAAACAAACAAGTTGGTGCTAAAGAACCAAAACGAGAAAATATCCCCACCACACATGACAGACCTGAACATTTGATACATGGCAGGAAGGATCCATGCTTTCATTGACACTACAACTCCAGTGTTTCAGTAGAAATTGAAACTCAACAGACCAGGCAGTGGTTTTGCTCATCTGCTTCAAGAAATGCTCTTCTGCATGCATTGGTTGTAACAAGCAATGATTCAAGTTGCAGTTGCTTTCCCATGACCATGAAGCAGTCTGGCCATTCTCCTCTGACATCAACAAGGCATTTTCACCCAGATGTCTGTCTTTCACTGGATAGTTTCTCCTTGGACCATTCTCTGAACAGGTGTACTTAATAAAGCCAGTCAGGATCTGCCATTGTCAGAGTCTTGGATGATACAATACAGCCTTAGCTTTGCTTTCAAGGGACACCTGTGTTAATAATTTATCTTGCCTTAAAGCATCAACTGAGATTTAGCACAGAACTGGTCTGTGAAGACAATGGGAAAGATCAGCAGAGTGAGCACATAGAAATGTTTTTGTTTGCACTCCGTTGTTCAGATTAGCAAAAAGTAAAGCAGGGAGGTGGAAATCAGGAACAATCAGTCTTTGGTTTTGTTTTCAAAATAACATTTGTATTTTTGAAGACATCACAGGCTCTAGAAAAGTGATTTTGTAGTTTAAAGACCACGTTTACTGGAGAAATAAACCAGCTCATTAATTGATAATGCTACTGTTTGGTGTAGTATTAAAGTGTAGGAAGTGTAAAATTTCAGCTCTTATACACTGTGATAACAGGATTTCATTTATTATTTTCTGTAGGTCTTCTGCTGTGTGGAGGAATGTATTATTACAGATATATATTTGTTGTTAATTAGTTGTAATTATTTGTTGCTTGTAACACCCACAGCTTTCTTTGAATACAAGGAAGATGGAGGAAGATTTCCCAACCCTCCATCCTACAGCGTTGCCACCACTTTGCCCTCCTATGATGAAGCTGAGAGAAGCAAAGCAGAGGCGGCCATCCCGCTGGTCGCTGGAAGAGTCACGGTACTCGTCTCGTTCTCAGACTTCTTTCTAGTGACTTAGTGTTGTCACATATAAAACACTAAACAAGACAGAGGTAAACTGAGGTTATTTTAATTAATAGTTTAAACGTATCCTTTTTGATGATGCAGGAGGAAGACTTTGTGGCCAGAGATGACTTTGATGATGCCGACCAGCTGCGAATAGGAAACGACGGCATCTTCATGCTCACTTTCTTCAGTAAGAAACAGACTTTGTAACGGTAACAATAAACAGAC